ATATGATGGTAGGGGAAAAACTGCTCTGCGATACCAGTGTGTTGCATTTAGAGATTCCATTGGACTTCCTTTGGTTTGACAGATTCTCTTCCAGTAACCAAATAGCTGACATTTCGCTCTCTCTGGCTGACGCTACAATCTCCGCTTGCCCGGTCCTGGTTAATACCGAGCATCTCTCAACAGAGATGTGCAAGGAATGAGGTGAACTACCGATCACATGGGTGCGTAGACTGCCTTACACGCTGATACTGCACGATATGCACTCTGGTACATTGTTGGTTTCCTTTGTTGGAACCAGGTGAATTCTCTGGGATCGATGAAGATGAGGTTGCTCTCCTCTCACACAGAGAAGCTGCTTGAGCTCGCTGTACCGCAGCAACCAGGACGGAGAACCGCCTGGTGCTTTTCTGACTTCCACCACAGTTGTGGGTTCGGTTAAATGGTCACCAGCTGTGTGCCAACAGTTTACCAAAACCACGGCGATCCCTTAAGCTGCACTACATTTTTTTTTTTTTTTGTGTTTTTCGTGCCTTTGCCACCGTGGCGTTGCTCCGCCTTGTGTGAGGGGTGCTTATGTAAGCCTGCAGCCTCCTCCGCCAGGCCCGGCACCCCAGGGGGAACGGTCCTCATTTGTGGGACCTAGAAACAATGTGTGTATGTATGTGTGTGCGTGCAGAAAAAGAAAAGTGTGCCGCAGGCTTCCTTCTGATCTTTTATTCAGTGCTTCTTTAAAATAACACTTCCTTGGCCATGTTTTCTTTCCCTATTCTACCGATTCTGTTTCAAAGCGTTTGTATTGCTACCCCTCGCATTTCCTGCCACATCACTCTTGCCTCTCTTTATCTGCTCGGCAGTAATTGGGTGGAAAGACCTGAATCCGGAGTCCATTCATCCAACCATGTATTAGAAAGAAGGTGACAAGAGCTCGCCCTCAGTGGAGACCAGTGTGGGTCAGTCAGAGGGCCTGAGATGTTCGGGGGGGAAGAAAAGGTTGACGAATGTCGATGCAGAAGCACAGTGTTTAAGCCGCAGTGTGAGGGGGAGAATGTGCACAATGATGCCGCCCTTTGGAGTTTGGTCCAAGGCGGGATGGAAGCCACGGGAGCTGGATTTTTATGACTTCATTTCATTTGGTACTAAATATAAGATATACACTTCTTCCTACACCATCACACGCCAGCAGGAGCCCGTCCCTCCCCCTCCTCCTCCTCCTCCTCCTCCACTGACCTACTTCCTGGCGCTGGGGATGAGGCGGTGAGGTCGTGCGCTGAATGAGAAGTGGCAGCAGTATATCCCTTCATCCCTCCCTCAACTCCTTCGTCTCTCTGCCTCCCTTCAGACTCCTCAAACACGCGGCATCCTCTCCTCTCTGATGCGCACATCCACAACCTTGAGAGGGTGTGCCTGGCGTTTTAAAACGCGCATGCATGCGACTGCATGACTGTATCATGCGAGGGGGGAATATGTCAAAATGTGTGTTTTCAAGCGTCTCTATAGGTGTCTCTATGCAGCAAAATCTGCGTTCCTCATGACATGTAGTTATCAGCTCCAAATCTCTGTGTGCATCTTGCTACACCTCTCGCTTTCTCACACACACACACAAAGATGCCTTTAATAAGCACCAGTGACACCTTCCTCGCATACATCTGCTTGACTGTGATGAGCCGGGGGAAGGTAACAACAAGTGTGTGTGCGCGCAAGATGGCGTGCACAACAAAAGTTCATCCTTCTGCCTGGTGATTTTTCTTCGTGGCATTTTGGGGCAGTGGTGCTAAATGCCAGATATGTTTGTAGCTTTCCATTGCGCAGCCTTGTTTGGCGTAAGGGTTCTGGGAGGCAGCAACACACAGAGCCGGCTTTTCTTAGCCGACAGCACTAACACAGAGAAGCAAGTGAGGATTAGAGCTGGCAGGAGGACCTGCAAGGAAGGAGGAAAAAAATGACAGATGTTGGGTCGATGGAGGAAAATGTCACTTCATTTGGCCTGAAAAGAGGGTAGTAAGGGAGGGCTAAGAAGGGCCCTCGGGGCATGTGGCAGTGGACATGGTCGATTTGGAATGTGTTTGTGTGGTGATGCCGCCACACAAGAGGATGACAGAGTACTGCTTTACAGTGCGAACAGTGTACAGTGCAGTATTTCTGTGTGTATTCTGTATGGCGTGTTTGGATTTCTTGGTCTATTTCCCCTGTGCAAAGGCTGGAAGACGGCCAGCAGAACTGTTGTTGAGTGAGGACCTGCCGCACGTGTGGGAGCCCAGATTGAATCCCCCCGCACACAGAGAAGGAGATACACTGGACAGCAGGTTTCGCTTGTGTGGTTTAGTGCTGAATGGCTTTAAAACCCCCGTAGAGCGGCCTCTGTTCCATTAGGCTCGGCCAGCTGTCCACAGCATCCGTACTAAATCACCACCGTAAATGTTTGGCATCAGCCTGCACACTATCTTAATGTAATAGAAATGATGAAAAGCAGTCACTGACTGGAGACCTGGAAAAGAATCTCTATATTACCTTCTTAAATTAGGCTTTTTACTGTCTTCACCGTTGCCTTTTTCCCCACTGACCAAATGAACGTGTTATTCATGTGTGATCAGCATGCAAGCTGCAGCCACATCGGGTTTAGGATAAGCTAGAACTACTCACAGTTGGATGAAATTGCACCATTCCCTTTTGAGGGATAAACCGGATGGTGGTCAGAGGAGGGGTTGATTTCTCTACAATTGCTTACTTTGCTGACCAGGAGTTACCACATGCTAAACAATCATCCATAGAACATTGTTGAAACCTTCCCTTTTCCTTTTGTGCAGTTTGCTTCCATGTGCTTTTTTGGTGGCTAAACCTTTGTTTTCATAATATAATGTTTTATACATATTTGTACGTCTTGACCCCATTCCATCACATCTTCTACAATCTATCGCACCTAACCTTCTTCCTTTATTCACCAGCTAAATGACATGTAATGTTACATGTGTTGAGAATGAGATTCTACACCACTGTATTTATAATACGGGTAGATGAAATCCAGCGTTCTGATTGGTTGAGAGTGAGTCACGGGGTGTGCATTATTGCGCGATAATGTACAGTTGCACTTCACATTTACCCGAGCGTTCAGGTTAGATTTCGCGCGACCGTTAGCTGACATTTCAGCTTTTAGCTCGGTGGCGATCGCCGAAATAAGACCCGGAAACCCACAAATGATCGGTTTCAGACCATGCGAGCTTTCACAACCGGACAATTAAGGTGGACGTCACAAGCGATGTGAATGAAGATGGTGCGAGATCCTGCAGGGAGACCCAATGCTGTTTACATGCACGTACGGGGACTATTCTTCTCTACTGAAATGGGATCGGCAACAACAAACGTGACAAAAAATCTAATGGAAACTGCAAGTTTGACTCCAAAGTTAGTAATTTTACAAAAACATAACTAGACTAACTGATTATACGTTCCTCGTGCTCATCCCTAGTTATTGGCAATTGATCTATTTTACCTAAACATATTTAAGAGTTTATTCAATTTATTGGAATGAATGAGGAATAAATAAATATTCCTGCAGCTAGATTGCGGAGTAATGTTTCACAGAAATGATGTAGCTAACAAGAACGTTGTGTTCCAGCGTTTTTGGCACTGCAACGTTACATTACATGTCATTTAGCTGATGCTTTTGTCCAAAGCGAATTTCTCCATTGGTTTCAAAATATAGTGTATTATTTTAGTTGATATTCTGCCTGCACATAAGTATTTCATGAAGAGAAGACGGACTAGCTGGTGCTTTGCTCGGTGTCATGCATTATTCACAGGGAATAGGAGGAGCGGGGGACCAGCAGGGGCCCTACGGTCGCTTTTGCTCAGGTTAATCCCTCCGCTAGAAGGGGGGGTGGGGGGGGGAAATCGGGGATTGTCACCGTGGTCAAATTTGCCTCGCCCACATATGCAAGATGGGACACGGGCTAAAAAGTGACAGTGACTATGAAACCTATTTGCAGTTGTTTATAGATAATCGCATCCAGTAACCCCAGATATGGCTGCAGACGGCACACATCTGTCCAACAAGCCAACGAAAAAATGTGGTTGATTTTCATTTAGAATAACTTCTAGTTTTTATATTTAGCCGTTCACAGCCCCGCTGCCATTAGAAGGATGTCAGATTCAAGAAGGCAGAAAGCGAGTGAGCCAACGAGGGCCTAAATCAGACCCCCTCCTCCCCCTTTTTAAGCTCCTGTCGAAGGCCCAGTGCATTCATAAAGTATTCACCGTCCGGCTATTTTTAAACCTTGCTGTGAGAACTGCGAGGCTGAGCGAAGATGTGAGACACAAACCTTCTCTCCTGTGTTAAACGCCACTCGTTTGGTTATCTACAACTATCCATCATCATAACACTCAGGAGAGGAATGGATGTATTCCACGTGTTAGGTATCTGCTTTAGTGGCTTCCTTTTTCCTAAAAGCCACTTCATGGAATAGTTTTTACTGTATTTCACATAAATGGCTGCGAAATAGATTTTTCTTGGTCAACTATTTCTCCTGGATTTGGTCGTGGCCGTGGTGTTCGCATAGCAAACGTTCTTTCATTCAGAAAAGCGCTAAACTGTTTTGGCCGCATTGTATGAGAAAGTAAGCGCTTGCCTTGGTCTGGTGCGTTAGAGTGTGTTGTCCGCGCAGTGAGACGACCACCCGGATCCTCCAGCGAGTGCTCCGGTTGTAGTGGTGGCGTCCACCACCGCGCTGCCAAGAAAACAGCCTCTTCCAGCACAACCAACGCCAAGATCAGGGTGTGATGGCGGCGCCTGTTGCCTCCGTTCCCTCTTCCCATCTCTCCCAGAACTACTCAAGGGAATAAATAAAGAAACTAGCTTAAACGTGTGGAGTTAATCCATATATCTAGGTTGCATTTTTCCTTCCTCTAAATGTTTTTCTTGTTGTTGAGAGCATTGGAGAAACCGAAAGGAAGCTGGTTGACATACTTTGTCGTCTTTTAACAGCTTCCCTCTCTCTCGCTTACAGAAGATGCCCCCGAGATAGCGGCCTCGCCCTCCTCGCCGCTGCCCCTCCCTACTCCTCGGCCCCTTCCTCTGCCTTCCTGGTTTCGCCACCGTCACTGGCACCTGTGTCCCTGCAGCCAGCATGCCGCCGAGGAAGAGGACGCGGCCGGGCCTCGGCTTCCTGTGCTGCTTCAGCAGCAGCGAGCCGCCGGAGATCAACCTCAAGGACAGCGTGCCCCTGCAGCTGCTGGAGTTCAGTGCCCCCATGCCGCCTGCGGAGGAGTTGCACGCACGTTTCTCTGAGCTGGTGGTGAGTAAAGAGGGAGCGGGCTCGTTTGATGTCCAAGGATGTCGTTCATAGCAAGTGCTTGCCGCTAACGGATGTAACCACTTAGGCTGAAGTCCAAACACAGAGCACTTAGACTGGTGGTGAGTGTGTAAAAATATATATGATGTTTAAGGGTGTTTTCACACCTGCTTTATTTAGTTTGATTGAATTGATCTTTTGGGCTTTTATAAACACGGCCATCGTACTCTGGATGTGGTGAACAAGGTCCCGGTCTGGTTGTTTTGGTCCACCGGAGTTACAAATGAGCTCTGCAGTAGTTCGGTGCGACTCGTTTGTGGTCATCACGCGATTCAGCCGCTCTTTGAACCGACCGGAGAACGCCTTATGCCTTCTTTGGATCAAAGCCGCTCCCGTAGCCGGCTGCCTTTGCACGATGGGAATGCATGCTTTCTTCCAATGCACCTTATGTGACTATTGGATCAACATTATTTTTCAGAAATTCTGACCTGTGTGATTCAGCTCCACCATTCGCCGCCCGTTTTGGTCACCTTTTTAAATTCTGCCTTGTCTCCAAAAATCAAACTATATGCAGCCCCGTGACTACTTGATGATAAGGATATTGTGCATGATGCCTCCTCTGGGACCAGAACCTACGGCGGCCCACTTTGTGGATGGAACAGAGAGATGATTAGAGGGATAATTTCCTGCTGTTATCCACTGATTCTGTTTAGTGAGCATGTTCAACTGTGCTGTTTTGGATACTGCAAAACTTTCCTACCAATTTCCAAAATGAGTCACCACGTAAAAATGCTGCTCATTCAAGTACAAACACACGTAAAATGTATGTAATTGGCTCAAATCAACAATGTAAATCCTGGAACGTTCTTTTTCCTACTGCTTTTCAATTCATTCCCCTCTTGCGTGTTGTTCATTATCCCGACCACGCGGGATTAGGAGACGGGGGGGGGGGGGGGGGGGTTGGGTCCGGTGGACTGCATCTTGATGGTTGGATGAGGCCCCCGTTCTGCAAATTGAGATGCTCACCCTTTCCACTACACAGCGGCAGCAACGGTTCCCATCTTGTGCACAGACCACACTGCTTGGCAGAGGCTGCCGGTCCCTCTGTGCTGGTGCCAGACTGGCACGGCTGTGTTGGCACGTAGCCGCGGTGCGGAGAAGCACGAGGCCACAGATGTCAGAGTGGAGGACTCTGCTGTGGTTTTTCCGCTACCATGCAAGCTTGAAGAACAGGGCTTTTCTGTTCGCCCCGTCGTCTGTTTGGGTCCATCTCGGCGCCTCTGCCGTGCTCCCCACGACCTCAGATTTCCTTCTGTCTCAACGCCGTTTTCAGCAGCGCGGCCACATGACGCCCTGTGCCGTGGCCTCGTCCACGACTGAACTTGACCATCTGCAGGATACGTAAAGTCTCCCCACTGTCTTCATCAGTTCAGGAGATTAAGTAAAATTCCATTTGGGATAAGAAATGACTTGTTATTATCAAGGCAGATGTTTTTCCAGAGGGAAACCTTGTTTATCCCGTTAATTGACCTGGCTTGATCTCACATTTGCTGTAGGCCTCCATGATAGACCTTGATGAACCTCATCAGCTGCTTGATTAGAACAAATTAGAAGTTAGGATTGTTACAATAAATACGTTAATCCACTCGATCATGATCAAACCGCCTTTCAGCTCTGCAATAACTGAAGATTACTTCTGTGGAACCAACCAGTTTTCATTATAAAAAAAAATTCCAGCCGTCCTTGAGATGAATGTACCACAGCATCACGATGAAGCTGAACATGGAGCAAAAAGCAGACCGGTGCATCTGCGAGTTGACTTTTGGCATTTCGTCATTGGATCTGGGCCTTCGACATGTTGTGAATAGATTAATGTTCAGACGGTTGCTGGAAGGGCCTGTGGTGTCACTCAAACGTTTGGCTGTGGGTCATGTCTGCGTTGGGCTCTGATCCAACTTGTCTTTACTCTCCTGCATCGAATGTTGCAGATGAAAGTCCGACTCTGCCCCGTCAATCCCTTCCTCCGCTCTCCTTTTGAGGAGGAGCTCTGAAAGCCCAAATAATATACATACCTTATTCGTGATGAGGCTCCCTAAAGGGTAAGATGTGATATCACAGGACAACCACCCACTAAACATGGAATTTAGTCAAATAAAAACTGCAACATGTGATGTCTTAATCTGTTGCTGACAGGGGTCTATTATTATTATTTTTAAATAAGGTTTGGAGCAACTTCTGCTAACTTATCTGCTGCTTGATGAAAAAAGCAATAGAAATGAGCAGACAATAAAGGCTAGTAGAAAAAACTGCTATTGTGCCATCCATCTTTGTTTCCCTGGTGTAAACCACATCTCATCCTGGAGAAAGTTCTATACCTGCCTGCAGATGAAAGCCCCCGGTGCCGACAACTGAATTTGACAAGCCGTCGCAAATCCTGGAAGCGATCGCCGCTGATTTGGACCCGACGAACAAAGGCCACGTCAGATGAGCTAATGGATGGTGTCAATGAAATGAGAATTGAGTGTGTTTTAAACGGTTTCTTTCAAACCGCGGATGAACTCTTTGCGCGCATTGTTGATGTACATTCAGGCCATGTGTGAAGTTTGGCAGTGCTTCAAAAAAGGGGACAGCTTTATTTTTGCTTTCTACGGGCAATAACAAGTGTGAAAATGCTCCCATATTCAGGTGATGGAGAGTGGTTCTGCTCAGTGACATTAGTCGTGGAGACAGTTTGAGTTCCATGTTATTCCGGGTCTGTGAACGCATCTACGAAGTGCCAATCAAGCACTGCAGAGTAAACACGTTCAAATGTTTGACCTGTGTGAGGAGATGTTGTGTGTTATATACCAGCTCATGTCGTAGCACTAGCTATACCGGTGACACTGAATCAGGTCTGTGAGGCCAACATCTGGCAGATGTCAGATTAGTGTGTGTTCCCACTGCCCCCCCCTCCTCCAGCCAAAACAGGGTTCCCTGTGTGGGAGCCTCATTCTTTCGTCCTCCGTCTGGTCATTTGGGACAGTTTTAATCCAACCACTTGGCGCTGCATCTGTGCGGCTCGACCTTTTAAGAGCGTCCACGCCCAAACGCCATCCCAGCCGAGCCTTTTTTTTTAAACATCCATCTATTTCCTAATGTTCCCTGCGCTGTGACTTTCAAGCCAATCCGAACTGGGGAATGGAAATGTTCCCTGCCCTCCCAGCTACGGCCAGTTTCCTCCACAGGATCGCTCTCTTTTTATTCCACATACCCCCCCCCCCTCCCTCATCTGCACTCCAACCAGCTCCCCATTTCTAATGTTCTGTACCTGCTCTCGCTGCCTAGAGCCGGCCGTAGCATGGATGTTGTCGAGCCTTGTTTGCAGTCAGTGGGAGCCCAAATCAATTCTCACCATATCTTAAGAATAAGTTGATTTGTGAGCTTTTCATGGTTGTGATGAATGATTCAGTCTTTGACTTTTGAAGCTGGGCCTGGATAAGTACACACACACACACACACGCACACACACACTCATTCGGGTCAATCATGGCAGCTACAGCTTCCTGTGGGTTCCCCGGAGGCCTCATATGACTTCCTGCCATCTTACTTGTCTTTCCTCTGCCTTCCTGTCTCGCCCAGAGACTCCTAGAGGAAGGATACCTGTACTGCACATAGACATGTTTACAGTGTGTGTGTGTGTGTGTGTGTGTCGGCGCTAATGCAGATTGAGCCCCTCAGACTGACAACTGTGCAAAGACAGTTGTGTGCACTCGGCGAAATGCCACCTCACATGCGTGTGAACAGGGTGTCATTCTTTGGACCACACTCATTTCCCATTGAGGTGGAGCTTCACGTTCATAATCAGCTGTCACGGGGACACTCTCACTACTCACTCGCTATCATTTAGTTTGGCTTGCTTTCATATCTAAATCAAATGCACACACCTTTTATATACTCAAGGCTTTACTGGGAAATGTGCTAAGATGTCATCAACGTGACCCCTCGAGGGGGTTTCTGGACATCATGTATTTGCTCCACGTACAGTGATTACTGCTCTGCGTTGAGATCCGCAAGATATGCCAACGATTTTTGTAATTTAAGAGCTAAATGGCGAGTGTCTGGCTTGGCTTTGCATACAGCATGATGTTCATTTAGTCCATTTAAAACAGACCATAAAGCAGTATGATTTAGGGCGAGGGTACACATATCACAGCGGACATGGCACTTCGCTGGGACGCCCGTTTTAAATTAGTTACATTTTTCAATAGGCTGCGGGGGGAATATGAAATAAGAGGTTAAGAATCCGTAGGAATGCATATCTTCCGCTCTCAGGCAGCAGGTGTTACAATATTAGCTTTGGTTTATGCATTCCCAGGTGGAATGTGCATGGCGAAGGAAAGCGGGAGAAGAAAAGTGGTTTTGTTTTTGAATATTGGACGATTGTCTACTTACTTCTTTTGGCCATGAGGAGAGGATGAGGATGCGGGTGTAGTGTCGAAGGCAAGTTAAAAGACGTTCCGGGTGTGGAGGTGAAAACCGAAATAGAGAAATGTTGCAGGATCCCCAAACTCCTCTTGTTTAAGTGACCGTTCCTTGACCCGCCTGACGTCCTCATCCTAAACATCTCCTTCTACATTTCTCTGAATCAAATGGCACTTCTGCCTGGCAGGAACTACTGTAAATGAAACATGCAGTTCTCATTGCAAGGTCTTTGTATACATCCACCCTCCCATTCCTTTCCTGTTTTCCTGGTTCTTCGCTCCTCACTCGATTTGGCCAATATCCTAATCCTACATCCCAATCTTATGATAAGGCCTAATGTAATCATATCTATTTCTAAGGAATTCTTAAATAAGACTTCGTCTGGAAGCTTCCAGCACCAAGTGAGAAGCAGGAAGATCAGTTGCTGAGCTCGGCTGCCATCTGGTTCGCGTCCAAGCGTGTATCCCTCTCACTGATGTCCCCGCCGGCTTCCAGAGGATCGCGGTCCAGCTCAATGCCCAGAGACTGAAGGTTGGAGAGACGGGGCTTAGGCGCTTAGCCGCCACAGGATGGCTAGTTTCCTACTTGACGCTCGCGATCACACAGAGCCACGAATAACCGCAGTATTCATTTATCGTAGCAGTTAATACAGACCCAGGATGAAGAACTCCTGGTGTGAGTCACAATAAGTTGTAGAATCCAAGCTGCCGAGATGAAAGCATCTCTGACCAAAGATTCTAAAGCTTCTCTGTGGTTTCTATTTGTATTAGACCACCTCCTTATTTCTGCCAAAGCCACACTAAAGCTGCTGCTGGTTATCCCACTGAATGAGATGATGTCATCCCTCATCGTGTCAGATACTTGGAATGCGGGCCACCTCAACCTTCCCCATCCAGCTCAATGGCTGAAAACAAACTTTGTTCACTCTTCTAAGGGGCCCCACCTCTGGCGCTGGCAGGCCATCTTCACGTTGGGGGGCCCGGGAGGCCCATCATGTGTGGCTGACGTCACGGTAGCAAAACCATTATGATGAGATTAGTTTGAGCTTGAGCACAAAGCCCCTCCCCCCCCATATTTTTTTGTGCTTATCCATTTTCCTGAACTAAATAGTCCTTTCACTTTCTCTCTCTGTCACCTTCATCCATCCATCCCTCTCATCCTCCCCTCATCCCAAATGTATCCAGTCCCTTCCCCCCACCCCAAGTCTCTGCTTTTCCTCCCTGGCTGGTACACAGAGACTCATTTCCTCATTGGCCTCATATGCATTTCAAAAGGTGCAAGAGGCTCCTTGTACCGAGCCGAAGAATTGAGCAGAGCAGCAGGGGGAATATTAAAATGCCCCTTTGTGGGCCGCACAGACCGGCTAGCGGGAAGGTCGGACAATAAAGTGTAAACTCAACTCCTGCTGAAACCTGCTCCTCTGTATTGGCATAACAAAAACAATAGGGATTGTGTCGCTCGATGACCCTATCGTCTGGTGATTTATTACAATGTTAACTACTTTAAGCCGGTTACGAAACAGTCTCAATTTAATCCTGATACCTCTATATCACCGCTGTAAGTACACACCATCAACGTCACGGCACGTTATTCTTGATGCTCGCTGGCGGTGCCCCTGGGTAAGATCCGGGCCAAATTAGATGAAACCATGGTGGAAGTGCAGAGCTTTGCCTGAACCGTTGGTGTCCGACATCACCACAGCTGCAGGCACAGGTCGTATTGCTGGGCCCGCTGGAGAGAAGGGAGTCACAGGAGGCCCAGGACTGCACAAATCAGTCTGCAGTCGAACGACAGGTTTTGCAAAGGGAATCTGGGCCTCCTGGAGGACTCCCATTTCTTATCGACAGGGACACCAAATTAGGATTCCTCTCTGTAGCTTTAATCATTGCAACTTTTTGTTTAATTCATTTGATCTTAACCAATTACAGATTAAATTGAATCGTTACTGCACTGTTTTGCCAATGACAGCCTCCCCTTGTTGTTGCAGGATGAACTGGACCTGACGGACAAGAACAGGGAGGCCATGTTCGCGCTGCCCAATGAAAAGAAATGGCAGATCTACTGCAGCAAGAAGAAGGTGAGTGGCTCCCTGCCGTGCTTTACTCCGCGTCAGCTCTGATCGAAGGTCGGCCTGCAGTTGACATGCTGTTTGGAGCTGGCCTGTCAGCACTGACTGCTACTGAGAGACAGAATCCACAATCCTTATTCAGATCAGCTTCAAGCTCCCCATTTTTTTAAACATGGGTTTTTGATATTTTCCATCCGTGTAATGTCGTACGTGCACACATACGTGAAAACAACTCGGTTTACGCCAACGGCCCCTCCAGCCCATCTATCTCCAAATCTCCCTCCCCCGCGGTGGAGCAAGCAATGTTCTGCTTCAGATTTGTCAACATACCATGGAAGCAGGAGAACATTGTGGTCAGCCCTCTCGTTCACCTCTCTCCTCTTGCCAAAACGTCTCCTTTTCTCTCCGTACCCTTCAGCTTGTCTCTCCGCAGCAACTCCGGCCTCCCTTTGTGGTCAAATATCCAGCAGGAAATGACATTGTGTTCCCCCCCCCATCCTCTCTCAATAGCAAATTGAGTAAATAGTGATAAACCCTCCTGTGTCTCTTTGCTAATTTGTTTGTTGGCTGAGGTTTTTTGTGTTGGCAGCAGGGCTTTGGAGGGTTGGACCCCTCCTTTCTCTCTTTCCACGGCATGCAAGCTCAGTCGATATGATAAACTCTGACAACCGTTTAAAAAACACACTCACAGCCACACACAGTGTCCGTGTACACCTGCTTGTGCAAATGTTTGTACTTGTATTGAGTTACGAGGAAAAAGAAGCGCGGTGGAGTTGCGGTGCGTTTTTAGAGGGATGTCAAGGCGAGGATGGAAGCTGGAGCACCACACCGGTTTACAATGAAATCCAATACAGGTCAAAAGTAACACACAAGGAGAATGTCATATTTCTCTCTAATGCATTCTGATAACCCACTCAGTGCGCTGTTCCCTTTCGATTAAATTGCATAGTTTGAAAAGGGGATAGAATTGTTGGCAGAATGTTGATTTTTTTTCACATGTGAACCCACCTAAAAGGCACACGTGCAATAATACCCCAATATCAGTGGAGCAGCCATAGACTCCTTGTGCTGTGGTTAGAAGGCAGTGAAAACCACGTTTTTGCACAAGCCAGGACATGTTGCAACCCAAATGGTGCAGGTTCAGAGGTAGGATATACAGTATAGTAGTTGTTCCAGCCCCATCTCTCCCAATCAGAAACCATTTCCTCTATGAGGTTAAGGGGAATAAAACCAGCCACGTGGCCAAGCCAGGAAACCAGGAGCAGAACCCCAGGCTAACAGCACGCAGCGGAAGGCTGCAGGGAAAATTAAACAAACCGCTCATTCATAGTTGGAAGCGGCCTCTTGGAGAATGAACTGGCGTGCAATATCGTAGAATATTAGTACTACTAATAAAACTACTGTCGCCGACTTCAACATGCATGCACATAGGAAAAGACGCAGGTCTTTCATAGACACTTGATTTGGAGGCCAGAGGACAGCAGGACGTCCCACAGTCGACCCCGTCGGAGAGAAACACGCCTTCCCTTGTTTCCTCCAGCGAGCAATAACTCCAGTTGTTGTGGTTCAGTAGCACATTGGAGGGGGCAGTGACAACGTTTTTCATGTTTATTATTGATTCATTAGCTAAGCATGTTTCATTTTGCGGGGGGGGGGGGGGTAATTACTGGTGTTACTTGTAGTGTAGCACCCTACTCTTTCACTGTATGTTTGCCCACATTTGGGTGCGGAAATACTCCGTATCCATAAATGGCTGTGACCTACTTATACAGGATATAAAAATACAAATAGAGTTGGTTTTTTTGGGCCAGTCCAATTATAACCAATCACTAACACTGGTAAGCTCTTACCTGATAAAAATATCTGGTTATTTTGCTGGCTAGTTGCTAATTTACTCCTCCATGTTGCTGTGCAGAGGGTTTTTTATCAGGGCTTAGTCGCTTAGTGTCCTATTGAAAATAGGCTCAAGGAGAAGTGTGACTGCATCATACACTTAACCTCCCTGCCGTCCCAGGAGAAGCAGAAATTAATCTAATTAATGCAACTTAAATATCAAATATTAATGTTTAATCCTCGAGAAATGAACTAACTGCTCAAACGATACCGTTGAAATAGTTGTAGTTTGTTTATCAGGCACTGGCTGGTCCAGTAGTGTCTAGCTAGCTTAGCTTAGCGGTGGTGATGTAAGGGAATTAACTAACTAACTCCAGCATCTAGTCCAGGCCTTTGGGTATTACATAAGCAAACGGTATCTGCACCGCTGATCGCAGACACCCAGTCAGCCACCGTGTGTGTGTGTGTGTACACAGTGTAACCTCCTGATAATCAGTGCTGGGAGTCAGAAAGGGTCCCAACCCTTTCTGCAGAAAGCATGCGAACACGTGTCCTCCTGCGGTTGCTCATCATGCACTGTACGACGGCTCCACGCGCCCCGTACGTCGCCCTCCGTAGCCGTGGCGGCAGCTCTTGTCTTCAATTATTACCCTCTGGCGGCTTATCCAGATCGCTGGAACTAACGTGACCCCCCCCCCCCCCCGGGGAAATATTTCAGCCGGAGCATGTGCTGTTATGTTAGCTACCTGTCAGAGGCGGCGAGCGTTACATAATCCTCCAGAATTCAATATCCTGTCCATTTCCTGCCTCTGGAGGTGAGACTTTATATCCTGGCTTCCATAGATAAATATTCCACGCAGAGTTTGGCTCCTTGGAATGTCGGAGCATCCCCACGTACGGGAACGTGCAGTGGCGACAGCTGGAGAGCGAGCAGGGAAAGTGTGCATATATGTGCTATCTACTGCATGTGTACAAGTCAGCGTTTCCCCTACATGTACCACACAGGGAGCAGAGCAGAACTGCAAACTCGCACGTACAGACAGAAATGGCATAACATAAATAACATGAGGTAAATCGACCTGTTCTACTGGAAAGCTAAATGACTTCTCTTGTGATCTGGCGCTAAATGGAAATATGCAACTTCATCTGCTCTTTCAACAAGTGCAAACGCGACAGGCTGCCAAACGCGGAGGGAAATATTCTAGAACCCTGGCTTTAGTGGAGTATTTGGCTCTTTGGAGGAACAATGCGTCCCTCAACAGATGGCTGTAACAAAGAGGGATGCTCGTAGAAATAGTAATGCTCTGCTGGGGATTTCTCTCGTCTTTTTGCTGCGGCAAACTGTGTTGTAGATCATATTCATCGTCCCCAGACAAGAGGAATGTAGAGTGAAGTGCAGGTGTGTCATTTCTGTAATAGAATAACATGGTGTTGACCGTAAACTGTCGCAGCGCGGGACCACTGGAATGTGGATGAGAAGCCACGACCAGAAGAGCGCTCCAGTTAATGTTTACATGTATGTGTTCACCAGGGGGACGGATTGACAGTTTTAGTTTTTTTCATTCGTAAAATTGCAGCACTCTACTCCGGCCCGTGGAATTGTCGCAGTGAGCGGTGTGCTGGACTTGTTGTCTGGTAATTGGGCTGAAGGGCCGGGGAGAGGCGGGTAAGTTCTTAATCTCAGCGTCAGGATCTGCCTGGCGTCACGTCCCCAGCACGTCAGCACGAAAACACAAGCTCAGTAGTACAGTGACTTCTATTGTTTAGTGTTTTTAGCTTGAGCTTAAACGCTGGCACGGTCCGGGGCTACGTGGTGTAACCCTGAACGGGCTGCGTGGCGGAGCTGCTCCAGCGCGTACGCACCAGGATTCAGTGGATCTGCGGTTTCTGCACCTCATGCTCATATATCCACTTATATACAGTTCAATGATACAGGAAGAGTGTGTCATGTCAGAGGACATTTGATGGAGCTTTTCTGACCTAATCAGCAACCACCATACAAGTCAGGAAGCAACCTTTTGGGCGTCATAAATTTGAGATTTCCCATATCACAATTGATGAACTCTTGCTGCAGCATGATTGCCGTTGTAGTGACAAAGCTCACGTATAGTTAGTGACTGTCACGGAAAGGAATCTGTTGGTGGAGCTTCATTTTGATGCCTTTTCTCAAGCGTTCTAAGCAGATCTTCTGCAGTGGGATGTAGTGTTTCTGATGTTTCCGTCCTTGGTGGAACGAGCTCTCTGAAGACACCAGGACCGCAGAGAGCCTTCACCTCTTCAGACTAAAGACACACCTCTTCAGACTCCACCTCGACTAAAAGACTAACAAACTGTAGCACTTAAATTGTAACTTATAACGCTATCTATAGCAAATTATAAATTGGCTTATTTGAGGAAATTGCACTTTCTTTCTTGCTCTTCTGAGTTTGTACCCTATGGCTGAAATGCACTTATTGTAAGTCGCTTTGGATAAAAGCGTCAGCTAAATGACATGTAATGATGTTATGGTCTGAGTCGTTGCGTTGACAGATCATGCTATCGGAATGCTAACTATCTGCCTTTACGGCTTGAGGCACTGCGTTTTAGTAGCTTTACGGAGGAAGGGGACATATTTAATGTCAGGAGTGTCCGTGATATTGCAGCAGCACTGAAGTATTTGAAGCCGATGCAAAAGAATCTTAAGTTTGAAACGTCCAGCAGGGGGCGACTCCCCTTTTCCTATAGAAGTCTATGAGAAAATTACTACTTCTCTCTGGATTTAGTTTATGGCCTTAATCTATAGTTTCAAGCATTAGTCAATACACCGTGACGTGTTTAATTATTGTCCAATTGAAGTCAAATCGACCATAAAGCAGGGTATGATTTGGGGCGGGGCCACCATGTGATTGACGTGTCATTGACACACAGCGGTCCGGATCTGGGAGTAATCAGTGCTTTGAATATCACTGTCAGTGTTTTTTAACTTTGTGAAATTTCATCAACTTTTTCATGGACTAAAATATGATCATTCTGTTGTACATGTAGCTTCTGCCTCTCGTGTCACTTCTGGTGGTAAAACCCAAGATTGTAAAAGCCAAAATGCCCAAACTCCTGGCTTCAGACTCACCGCCCACAGACCATAGGTGATGTCAGAGGAACTTGGTCCACTTGGTTTATATGTGGTTACACCACACTTTAGAAAAGAGGCATTTAAATAAAGAAGTTCCTCTTAATTTTTGGATCAAGTAAAATTGTTGACATATGTTGACTTTTTAAATGTGGCGAAGAACTCTTCTCTTATCTTACAAAGCTATGCATTTTTTTCTTTAATGCGGGATACTGCACCTTTCCAAATCTAGCTGATGTGCACAGTAATAAAAACAACGACCATGCGCACAAGAACTCAACAGAACAAGCTGTGAGCACGGAACATGGTCTCTTTATTCCTCGGGCCTTGTGTTCTCTGATTGGCCAAATATGTCTCCGATAGAGCTATTTCAAAACTATTAATAAACTACTTTGTTTCCCCATGTAATAAGACAAGTGAATACTATATTATATATGGATTGTCTGATCCATTCAGACCTTGTGTGGGTGCTGACGTATGCAGCTACGGTGAAAGGATGAAACTAGAGGGGTGAGCATGGTGAAGAAACGAGACCCGGAGTCGAAGCTCTTACAAGCTGCCCGGCTTCCTTCATCACGGCTGCTCGAGAGTTGACAACAAGAAATAATCAGCAGAGCGTTGGGGTCTTCTCTAAATTCCACATTTGTCTCCCATGAGAGATGTTCGTGTGACGTTTGACAGAGATGAAACGTCTCGTCTGATGGCGCCTCTCACATTTCCACACAACAATGTGCTGTATCTGGCACTGTGAAATGAACAGTGGGGCTGTGGCTTGAGTAAATCTACAAATGGCTTTGTCTCAATACTCAAGACCTTTCTGCTCAATATCATGGATGGAGCCTCCATTGGGGAGCCTGTCTGACCTGATGGCGGCACTACGGGAAAAGCCATTTTGTTGGATGTTTTAGATGACGTAACCGTAACCATTAGGACTCATGATCCGAGGTAGATATCTGAATCCCTCATTTTTACACTCTGCTGTTGTCATGCATGACGCTCGCACAAATGCACACACAAAACTAAGAGTGGGACTAAGTAGGATTTCAGCACTGCTCCCGAACAAGCAGTTGTGTGTGGCAGTGCTACAGGCAGGATTACAGATGTTGACCTCATCATTCTGCATTGTTGCATTAATGAAGCAACATGAATAATAACCAAAAGTCTCTGTGTTCACCCACAGGAGCAAGAGGACCCCAACAAGCTGGCCACCAGCTGGCCCGACTACTACATCGACCGCATCAACTCCATGGCTGCTGTAAGTTGTGTTAATGTATTTGCATAAAGTGTCCAGTTTATAGCATGTGGCCTCCACACCTCAATCTCGCCAGCGACGATGTCATTCACCGACTGAGCACATGACCTTTACTCCCCAGAGGTCACTGTGTCATTCACTCTTTATCGCCTCTCTACCGCCTGCTTGTTCATTTTGCATGACCACATTCCTCGACGTGCCCCCCCTTCAGCATTCACACGCACTGTGTGACAGGCCGTTTAGACACTCAGCAGTTGGTGAAGACTGTCATACACTCGGCTCAAAGTCAATCTCAGTATGGCTGCCAATACAAATGGCACAAGAATGGCACTTGTGTTGTTGATCTGTAAGGGATGGCCTCCGACCGTGATTACCTATTTGCCCCAAAATGTTTGAAAAGCAGATAACATGGCATTTGAAGGTTATTGTCAGTAAGTTTAGCCGTTTTGAGGTTGAGGCGAATGAGGAACTTGTCATTGTATTACTACAGCAGATGGAGTTTGGAGAAGAAGACGTGAGTATTCCCGCGGGAGCAAAGTACAGCAAAACGCGTATCATACACCTGCAAAAATCTGTTTAAGTGTAAGCTATATTAGGAATATTCTTTGGTGGTTTATTTTGCCGTGAGATGTTTTCAGATGTGGAAACCGTAGCCGCTAGACTCCACTGGGGGGGAAAGGAACGTGGGGGTTGCTGGTTTATAGCTGCTTTGATCCATTTTTGTGTTATTCGTGACATTGTTCAATCCAAACCAACCAAAGTCACATCACAACAATAAGAAAGCCCGCGTGGATGATCACTTCAGTACTTTGTCGCAAACATTGATTGTTTAGCTGTCTCAAAGCAAGGTAAACCGACAAGACCCAAAATGTAGCATCTGTACCTCAAATACAAGCAGTACGATGCCGTGCTCCCATACGATTTGTTTAGTGCTGACCGCCATCTACTGCACTAACAATAGAAAAATACCTGATACGCTTCCAAAAATCCAAGCTATGCCTTTAGTGGTGGCATGTAAGAACTAACAGTTTCATCAACGTTCAAAATGAATGTCATTGAGAATCAGCCAATTCTGAATGTACCTAAATGGCACCTAGTTTTGTGTTGAAGTTTGGAGTACTCTCATATTATACTAATAAATAATAATACTGCCATGTTCTTACAGGCTCAGACAGCACGCACACACACAGTATGTTAAGTATAGTCGAGAGAAAGCGCTGATTTGTAAGCCAGCATGTCTGCTATTTGGTGTCAGACATGCTGCTTTTCTTTTTTTTATCATATATTCGGTCTGTGAGGAGTGAGTCTCACATTCACTTGGTCCAACAAGGAGTCCAAGTCAAGTATTTGCACTAATATTGGGGGGGTAAGCTTCCCATTGGAAATCTGTTTACATCATAAGCAAAGTAAATCATTTTAATGGAAAAAGAAATGATCACATGAATGATATTAATATTTTTTGTATTCTCCATTCACATTTTTTTGACATCTTGACAAGCGGGTGTTTTAACAACCGTAGGTGCTCCTCGTGTCCATAACATCTTGGCACTGAGGCAACAGAGTTACTGGATGAGCTTGTTTTTGCCGGTGGCAGAGCTTGGAAGCCAGACGGCGTCTTGACGTGCATTCTTAAAACCACGTCACGGCTCCGAGGTTGTTCGCAGGCCGCGTAGCGATGCATTAAAACCTTCTTGTGACTCTGCCAGGCGTTTCTGTAGCCTCGCTGTGTCCCAGCTGGTGTGCCGAGTGCCAGTTGAGCTTCACGCCAATAAACCGAGGAGGAGAGAAGGAACAGGAAGTGACCAGAGAGGGTGGAGCCAAGTACAACCAAACATTTAACATGTCAACAACCAAAATGTTACAATTATCATTGAATAACTGAAAATACACAAGACTAAAACAAAGACAATGCTGATGTAGCGACCCTTCAATCAAAAGATAGCCCCTCCCTAAATCACACACTGCTTTATGGTTTGTAATGGAAAATAATTTACTAAATGAACATCATGCTGGATTGAAGAATAAGATTGAGACCATCTACTCAAGTTTATATTTTAATAAATTCAGTAAGAAGGATTTTTTTTTCCAACCAGAGGAGTCGCCCCCTGGTGGACATCAGAGAGAATAAAACCTATGAACTGATTGGCTTCACTTTTCCGACTTCTACGTATACTGCTCCACTGTAGTTTACAGAGCTTTATAGTGAGGGTCTGTTGGTGGTGTTAAAAAATAGCCCAACATATTTTATCCGTAGTAATACTAAAGACAAGGAGCAAATATTTTGTTTTGCCGTTTACCAGGCGCATTGCTCGGCTGTGACTTTTAATAGACATCATTGCTAACAAACCTCCTGGAACTCAGTGGAGCTCTTACTGTAAATACTACTCAACTTTCCCGTCCCATCATTTCACCAAATTCCCGCTGTTTGTTGTTGCCCACATAGGAGCAATAGGATAATGAGGCTTGGTTTCAACCTGCATGTTGTTAGCCTAATTAGGTTTAATGCCCCAAGCATTTGCATGACTATTTCAAATGAAAATAATGTTTGTGTTTGTTTATATTGAACAATTACAATTGACCCACATGTTCCTAATTAAGGTTGTGATGAGCTGCACTCATCACTCACTTGTTAACCAGGCACTGCAGGCATAGTTCTGCCTCAGCATTATTAATAAGAACCTTCTGCTGGTTATCAAATGCTTTTAATAGTATCCTTATGTGCGTGTTTGGCCACAGATTCCAATGAGCTTACAAATAGCAGATGTAGGAAGGAGCCGCTTGCCGAGACTCATTGACACGGATTGCAGCGCGACCAGATCATCCGCTCTGCCCGACACTGGTTGTGTCCAACTTCCCATTGAGTATGAACGCACGAAAGAAAACAGGAGCCAGAGCCTTTACTTCTTGGCACAGGGGCCCGTCAACCATCTGGCCTCGGGGCTAAATCGAGGCGATGGATGTTTTGACTGCACTGTTTCTAGATTAAACACACTCTGCACAGCGGACGGACCGGCGCTGTTCTTCGGCAGTCATCAGGTCCCGCTTCAGCCAACTGTGGAAGGCCCGCTGACCCAAAGTGTCCTGTCTTGCTGTGAAATATTTGTGCCTCACTTTTAAGGGTCATAAAATGCGGGTATTGAGTGTTTAGTTCAGTCCCTGTGGGTAGCACGCTGTCTGGAGCTCTGCACTCGGCAGTGTGGCAGGACAGGAGGCTGGAGAGGCCAAACAGAAGCCCGGTGGGCCTCACTAATGGGAGCACAGCAGCTCTTTGATGTTGCTGAAGGGAACCGAAGTGATGCAGAAACGAATTCACACTACTGCCGTTCTTAGCGTTTCATAACATGTTTCATAATTTGTTGCTTGATTAGAGCTGCTTGCCTGCAACGGCTTACTTTGCCGTGTTGTATAGCTTCATGTACTGCTTTATAAGGACAATGATACCGTAAAGAAGGGCTAGTAATTAAGCTTTAAATTACCTTTTGATGCTGGGATTAACATCTAAACAAAACCCTTTCTTGGTAAAGGGGAGGCAACGTGTTTCATGGCTTCCAAATTAGGATCATCATGTTCAGTCACCACAGCTGCTATTTTCAGTTTTTTCAGTTACCTGATATGAGAAAGAATAACGTCCATTTAGGACGGACAAAACCTCGTTACGTTGATCCCTTGTTGAGAAACTCCTTTTGCGTTACTCCCTAGTTGCTCTACTACCTTGATGCGCCGCTAACTTGTGAAGCTACTACCCTGTTGCACTAATACCCTGTTGCACTAGTGCATCTACTGCTCAATCAATGTTTTATCAAGTAAATTCAGTTAACTAAGATTGATTTCTCCCTATTTCTGCAGATGCAGACACTGTTTGCTTTCGATGAGGAGGAAATGGAAATGAGAAACAAGGTGGTGGAGGATCTTAAGACAGCGCTTCGGACTCAGCCGATGAGGTAAGTGAATCTCTACCACCGCCAATTTAGAGCTTTACATGAATTGTTAGCGGTGTTGAGGTAATGCTGCACATGTGAAATCTAGTTAATAATGTACCATGTACAAAATCTAGTCATATATAACTATATTATAGTCTAACAAAAAAGCCTTTTTAAACAATGCACTCAATAATATATTAAACCGAATAAATCCGTCTATTTTCCTCCCCTGTAATGAATACCACGAATACAATCGGCCCCCCTCTCCCCGTCTGCAGCTCCTTTAAAGCCGCCCATCAACCTGTGCCAGTTGTTTGATGCAGTGGTCTGGACCAAAGCGGGGGTGTTGACTTTTATAGTTATAGATTTATATATAGACCTCGTGTGCAGAGTGACAGAGAAGGAGTCTGGGTCGTGTCTGGGTCGTGTGTGTGTGTGTGTGTGTGTGTGTGTATTTCTTAAATATTAATCTGCCTCAGTTTCTTCGAGCCATCGAACTGATCTTGGGTGAATTTTCACAGCCGCATCTCGGCGCTGTACGTCTTCATCAGGGTCACAAATATCATTATCAAGGCGTGATTAGCAGGAGAAATGGCTTCCTGTGTATCCATGTGGTGTTTTATTACAAGCCTTTTTTAAGGCCTTAATGGGGGCAAGTAAAGAGTCTCCTCACTGTAACGGTCAGCTAATGGGCCATGAGGTTCCTTTGTGAGCAATTTCAACTAATAGCCGCATGAGTGCCGGAAAACGCAGAAAGGTCATTTACGTGGCACAACCGCTCTTTATTAGTGAAAAACGTTAATTTGTGGCTCCTAACTATATAACGTTTTTTGTTTTTTTTAGTGTCATTAAACTTTCTTGTAACAGCCAAAATTAACTAGTTAAGTCTCTCATATTGAAGGGTTTTTAAATGAATGGCATTAGAAATAAAAAAGTAAAGTAAAGCTTATCATTCTCAACCCATCCTTTATACATTATTATGAAAACGTTTGTTGAGTTTTGAAATAGATCTCTTGCTCTCTTTTGCCTGTGTGATAGTGGGGATCCCATTAAACAAAGCCTCAAAGGGACAAAATCCACCAAATGTTCTGGATGGGTTAAGGATTTATTTCAAAGCAGAAACGTTTATGAGTTGTCGGAAGGAATAAGAATAAAAATGACCAATACAGTCATTAAATCTAGTTTGAAACTTGAACCTGCTCCGATGCTTCTATCAGCGCTTCCAATTGGAGACTAATAAATAAACTTGGAACTGACTATCACAGATATTTGTGCTCCAGAAAGACCATTACTAAAAGTGTATATTATGGCACAAGTAGGCCAGTAAGTCAAGACATCACAATACTACATGTATGTCGAAATAGATTTACTATTTCCGCAGTGATTTGCTGCTTTGTGTTTCTCCTTTATTTATTATCTCCCTCTCCAGCGTCCAGTTATCCACCTGCACACCCCCGGCTGTGCAGGGATTTATTGCTCATTAGCAAGCCGATGTCTTTGAGGCCCGCAGCAGTGATGTGGGGAGCAGGTGTGTCCCACAGATTATGGGTGTTCAGGGGAAAAGGCTGGGCGGCGTTTCAGTGTCGCCTCTGTGGCTCCCCAATACGTCATTACTGTATGTGTCCCTGGATGTAGACCCAACGCCTGGGGAGGGCAAACCATAGCAGGTGTGCCGGCTGCAGCCCAAGTTTCAGAATGAACTAATATGCACCTCCCAGTTTAAACACTAGATTACATTCACGACACGTCCATCATTTTGTCCTGTTCTGATATATATATATATATATATATATATATATGACTGTATGAGGATTTAGTCTTATACATTTAACTACGTTAGCTATTGTAATATGTGGCCACGCCCATAAACAACTCTAATGTTATTTTGATGGAGGTCCAGGGACACAGACCCCCGGTGGAAGGGAGTGGTCGTCACAGTGAAAGCTTCACATTCCCACTTGTTTGGCTCTTTGTGTCTTTTATGTATGTTGCCCACAGTCAAAAGGTTGGGCCACCGATGCCACATGGGCAGCTTTCCTTTGAATGGGTAATGGCCGCTCTCCCCCATTCCCCGTGGTTTGCATGTAACTGTTGTGTAGTTCTACAGAGTTGAACCCATTTAATTCACGGAGGTATGCAGTGATCAGATCCACCAGCTATCAAATTCTTTGTTGGCACCGGCGTTATTATTTGAATCAGGTATCAACTATGATATTGTGATTAAGTGATTTTTAGTGCCACAGAAGTGTGGGGATGCGTCATTGTGTTGAACCTAATTACCAGCTGCTGCCTCCTCTGGGCCTCACACATTGGGCAGTACATTTGGGTTCATTGTGGCCTTGCAGCTTACTGTTTAAGTTCACTCTCCACGCTCTCATGGCGCCGCGTTGGCTCACAGCAGGCCGCTGAAACTTTAGAAAGCCACTTTACACAGTGGAGCCTTTAGCTGCTAGTCAGATAGGAAACATATGATTAGAACGAGGAGTCTTCTAAATAGCTGCTGTATTACCTGCACGCAGGGTTGCAGTGGGGGTCTGCAGTCTGCAGGGGGGTCCGGATATCAGAGCAAAGCTGTGTGCTGTTGTGGGAGGGGGCAGCAGCAAGACAATGTTAGACACTTGAATAATTCAATAGCAGTTTCAGGGAATAAAAATCTTCTGCTGTGACACAACCGATTGCATGTCGTACCGGTCTGTGCTCTCTTCAGAAGCCGGCACACGTAAAGAAGTGACTTTGGTCCACTAAAGGGTTGGATTCTTCCAGAACAGTGAGACCGCGTGCCGTCTGCCGTTTTCCAGCAAGCGTTCAGATAGTTCCAGTTCTTAAACTAATGTAATGACGCAGATATAAATGTGATTCTTTCTAAACAGCCGTACAACTGCAACATTTCCAAATTGTCCTTTTGTCACGTGTGAATTAGCAGCGTATCATGATTGCTCTGCCTGCAGTTGTTCCTTTGTTTACCAGCTGTCAAATGGAGCTCGAAGCATCGCGCTGGGCGTGTGCGTCTGTGTCTGTGTGTGTGTGTGTGTGCGTGTGCGTGTGGATCTTAACTCTAATGGAGCCCCAGCATGTCGTTATAACTCATTTGCAGTTTGGTGTGTGTTTAAATTTCAATATTCACTCGCGGTATTCAAACTCTCAAACAGTGTTAAATTGTTAACTGATTGCACATCTGCGCAGATGTTTCTGTCCTGCTATCTTTGAGCTACGATGCCCCTCAATCTCTGTCACTTCAGTGATGAAATGTCTTTGCTTTTGTTGTAGTAAATACGCTAGTAAATGTAAATTGTTCCACTTGTGACTGACTGGTTATTTTCTATATTTTTGTGTCTCATTAAATAAAAAAAACCTGCGTGTGCGTGTGTGTGTGTGTGCGTGTGTGTGTGTGTGTGTGTGTGTGTGTGTGCGTGTGCGCGCGCTGGGCGTCTCATCATCGCTGCGATGTCATGTGACCTGTGAGCTCCTTCAAGCTCCACAGGAACCTCGGTCAAATGGTTTGAAGCGGCTTCTTTGAAGAACCAACACACACACACACAACATACACACACACACACACACACACACAACCACTGTGGCCCCTCTTTACAGTAGAACATGATGTGCATGCGTGTGCCCCCGTGCGAGGTGAGCGGATGTTTGAGAGTAAATGTGTGCGACTGGGCGATTATGTGTCCAGGCTTCTGTGGGCAAGTGTGCGTCTGTATGTGAATGTAGAGGCGCAGCATTTTGATTCGTTTTTCAGGCTTTTGAAGAAAAAAAAGTCTCATGGTGCGTTCACACCAAAAGCGAAGCTTTTACATTCCATGTAAAGTCAATGCACAGACACGTCTGGTTGCAAATGAGGTGAATTTTAAAAGGGGAAAAAATTAGCTTCGCTTGTGTTGTGAACGTACCATTAGGCTTAAAAGAAAAAGTTTCTTGCCTGCGCAGCTAAAACCTCAGAAAGCCCAGTTGGTTAGAATGAAATACAAAAGTTGAGCATCTGGGTCACTTTCAGCGCTGTGCTCCTCATTTAGATTATTATCTGCCTCTGCATGAGGGGCTTTGCATTTTAGATAAATTAAACATTGGCAATCATTTAATACTTCAGTTAAACTTACGTTACCTTTGACCTTGACTCCACACACACACACACACACACACACACACACACACACACACACACACACACATCACACTGTTAATTTAGTTCAGTCCCGTCCTGTGCTTTTTCTGTGTGTGTTTCTGTGCGGTTGGCTTCGCCTCTGCTCTGTTGAACTCCTCCTGAGCTCATATCGTACGCAGCAGTTGTTGAGTCTCCTTGAATGCAACTCCGGCTGTTTTTCAAGTATGCAGCGGTCGCTCCACACAATAAAAAAAAAAAAGTGGAAAATGTCTTCTCACGCACTCGGCTGCGAGTGAATGTCAGCGCAGGAGGCACAGGAACCATAAAGTGCTGTGTGCAGAGGAGGTGAAAGATGGAAGGAGGAGAGTAGTGGATTAGTGTTGTTTTGTGGGGGGGGACATGATGTGCAGGTATGCATGTATCCTGCTACTCCTTCCCTTAACATGCACATGCAAAGGTGCAAAGGATGTGAGTGCGTGTTTCTGCCACACAATCAAAAAAGCACCAGCGTGGCAACCTCCCCCTCCCCTCCTTTAACACCCCCTCTCCTCACTACAGCAACAGCATTTCATGCCCTCTGTGTTCCATACATCACACGGATGTTCTTCTTCCCCTCCCTCCCGGCATGCATGTATGTATTTGCCGGCTTGGTGTCGAGTGGAGGCCGAGGCCTGAAACAAGAGGCACATTGTGTGTGTGTGTGTGTGAGTGTGTGTGTCCAGTGATTTCAGGTTGTCTGTCTGTGTGCGCACCGTGTATCCTGTCAACGTGTGTGCGAGTGCTTACGTGTGTTGGAAACTTGGACTGATTGTGCGTATGGGATAATAATTGGATGATTGGAATAGTTTTTCATCCTGCTGTTGCCAATGCAGCAGTGGAGGAGGCGATGGAGCTCCTGACATCGAAACAGTGTGTGTGTGTGTGTGTGTGTGTGTGTGTGTGTGTGTGTGTGTGTGTGTGTGTGTGTGTGTGTGTGTGTGTGTGTGTGTGTGTGTGTGTGTGTGTGTGTGTGTTTTACAATGAGTAGCAATAAATCTCCACCCTCGGCCCCCATCCAGTTGTGCCCACTGTCCTCTTCGCTCTCCGACTCCGTCCCTCTCCCCCCCCCCCCCCCCCTCCCCCACCGCCTCTCTCGCTCCCAACACAAGCCCCCATTTGTCTGAAGCCCATTTCACGAGGCCCAGCAGGAATCTGACCTGTGGGACGATGGCCGCTCGCCCCGCGGTACCTCGCCACCATCCCTGCTGCTCCCTTCGGCTAATGAGGGTGTTTCTCATTAGCAAACGAGAGGACGTGGTCTCGGGACGGCGTGAGCTATAAATATGCGTTTCTGGTCTGGCAGCACTTGAAAGGAGCCCTCACAACTATTCTGAGTCCTCCTCATGGGAGATGAGTGGCTCAGGAGAAGCTGTGTCATCTCTGTCCATGATGTCCTCATGGTTAAGAGATTGTGCGATACAAAAAGATGGTGGTAGGTTTGACTGATGTCCCCTTGAGGGATCCAACATTCAGGGTACTAACTTGGATTTCATGTTGTTGTAATGGACAATTTATTTTGTTTAATGTCGATGTGCACCAGGACACCCTAAGACATCTTCATGAGCATGTCCAGTATTTACTACTTCAGCCACAGTGTGGATGCAAATATGCTTCCTACAAAGCGAAAGGTCATTTGCGCAGCTGCAGCGTTCTAACCACATGTTCCTTTAAACTGTATATTTGAAGCCATGTGTCTTTTCTTTCTCATTCACTGCGACTCCTTCCTCCCGTCCAGGTTCGTCACGCGCTTCATCGAGCTCGACGGTCTCACCTGCCTCCTCAACTTCCTGCGCAGCATGGACTACGAAACGTCCGAGAGCCGCGTCCACACCTCCGTCATCGGCTGCATCAAGGCCCTGATGAACAACTCGCAGGGCCGAGCCCACGTCCTCGCCCACCCGCAGAGCATCAACACCATCTCGCAGAGCCTGCGGACGGAGAACGTGAGGACCAAAGTGGCCGTGCTGGAGATCCTCGGGGCGGTGTGCCTGGTCCCCGACGGGCACAAGAAGGTGCTGCAGGCCATGGCGCACTACCAGAAGTACGCTGCAGAGAGGACTCGCTTTCAGGTGAGGGGGGGAGCCCGGGTCAGTGCACCATCTCAAGTCCCTTGGTTTAAGGAACCTTGCTGGAGGCGTAGGGCAGACGTAATATTTCAGTAAGGAATGCAAAAATAAATCAAGCTGTGGTCACTTTGATGAGTTGGCGGCTGGTGCTTTAACAGCCTCAGATGGTTGTCCTTAGGTTAGGTCAACACTTTGAGCATATTAAAGGCAGGTGAGGACATCCAGAGTTATGGAGGTCAGGGCATGCGTGGCGCTTTAGTGACTAGCAGGACTGAGTCAACAAGCAAAGTCTGGCACGCCAGAGCTAACACCACAGGAGATGACTGACTCCCAATCCATGAGACGCTGTTTAACATGTTGAGTTGAGATCAAGCCACAGACTTATATGTCAGGGATCAGGGGGAACCCGATTCCCCTCAGTATGGCGTTAGGGCGCTAATTCAGGATCTCCGGGACGCGTTTCTTTGTCTCTGTAAAGCACGGTAACCGGTGATTTCAGCAGTGAATGTCTTTTTCATCAAAAACACACTTGCTGACCAAACACAGACGCTGCTGAATGAGTTGGACAAAAGCACAGGGCGCTACAGAGACGAGGTCAACCTGAAGACCGCCATCATGTCCTTTATCAACGCTGTGCTCAACGCCGGAGCCGGGGAGGTCAGCACACGCGCACACACACACACACACACACACACACACACACACACACACACACACACACACACACACACACACACACACTTTCAGAGTAAACCCTTAAATCAAGGGTTAGGAAGAAAAGTCATGTTGTAGTTATCTAGTGCTCAGAATGTGGGAATGATGGGTTCAGATTCCCAGGTTCATTGAAGATGATCCATTATCACCGCTTGTGTAGTCCTCTGTTATTGATTTGTTCTTCTATATTTCCAGGACAACCTTGAGTTCCGCCTCCACCTGCGGTACGAGTTCCTGATGTTGGGCATCCAGCCAGTCATCGACAAGCTGCGGGAGCACGAGAACGCCACTCTGGACAGGTGAGGCGCTAAAGAGCAACCAGCTAGTAACTGGTCATCCTCTTAAAAACCAGAAACATACTTGTTTTGTTGAGATCTGATTTGTCCACCGTGACGGTGCATTAAGTTGTTTTTTCTTCTGCTCCAGACATTTGGACTTCTTTGAGATGGTGCGAAATGAGGATGACTCTGAATTGGCCAAAAGGTTTGATACGGTGAGTAACTTCAACGTCCCCCAGACAACCGTCTGACAACCAAAAAGAAGAAATCAAGCGCTTGTTTATTCAGGTCAAGGGTCAAACTCCAGAGTAATCTGAATACTATTCAAATGTTTTATGACAGAACCACGTGGATACGAAGAGTGCAGGTGCCATGTTTGAGCTGATCAAGAAGAAGCTGAGCCACACAGACGCCTACCCCAACCTCATCTCCATCCTGCAGCACTGCCTGCAGATGCCCTGTGAGTACACACGGGCGGTCCTTCCATCTACCTCAAATCCCAGGACAATTCAATTAAAGTCATTGCAAACATTCCACAGATAAACGAGGCGGGGGGAGCATGCAGCACTGGCAGCTCTTGGACCGGATCCTCCAGCAGTTGGTCCTCCAGGATGACAAGGGAGAGGACCCAGACGCCGCCCCCCTGGACAACTTCAGCGTCAAGAACATCGTTCGCATGTAAGCGGAGATCTCGCCGTCCTCAACTCACACGAGTGTGATGACACATCCGGAATAATGCACTTTACCTAGTAGCCTCCATACCTCTCCAGCAGAGTCCAGCAAGTCATGCATTAATTCATACAGAATTAAGACTTATTAACGATCCCCTCAGTTCTTTGGAATAAACTAAAGGTCCCCAAGTAGAACAGGGATGTAGGATAATGCAACATTTTTCTCTGATTCACAGCATCATAAAAGGGAGTTACTGTAATCCTTCTATTGAGTGCTCCTTGCCTCCTTTTAAAAGCCTCTTATTCTACAAAGCTGAAAACTGCTGCTGTCATTTCTGCAAAATCACACCTGTTCCAACACATGGTCATCTTTTTTTCTGTGCAGCTATTGTCGGTGGAGAATGTGTTTGCGTGGTGAGGTAAAGTGGAGCTGGCGGCAGAGGGGGGGCAGGGGGTTATGGGTAGGATGGGAGGGAAGCCACGCTCCCAGGGTGAACTGGCGTGAAAGCGGAAGCAGGAGATCAAAAGGAAAAGGGGCTCTAATCGCATTAAGCGGGGAAGGTCGGCCAAGTCAGCCATGTTTAGGTGGGGCCAAGCAGTCGCAGCCCCACAAAGAAGACCTCAGGGAGAAATAACCATTTTAGCAGTCTGAATCGGGAGTAGATGCCTTCTGCTCACATTTGATTGGTGTGAACTTTGGCCTTCTTTACTCCCATCAATTTTCCTTTTATCTTTCTTTCCCCCCTCCCCTTTTTGGGGGTAGTTCCCTAAGGGAGGCTTCCCATCAGTGCCGAATGTGTTTAGTCTCAGTGCGGGCGAGAGCCCCATAAAGCATGTGGCGCGGTAAACCTCGGCTCCCACTTGCTTCAGTAAGTCAGCCACTACTGTTTGTGCAATCAGCTCACTCGAGCAGAATTCTCTTAGTGGCACGCAGAGTGCAAACTGAACCGCCGCGTCTTAAGCCCATTACAGTCCGTCGTCAGCCCATTCGCTTTACGTGACTGCCAAAGCCCCGTCGTGTTACCATAAACGATCCTGGAGTAAATTACATCTGGAAAGATTTGCATAAAACTCAGAATTCCTGATTGTTTGGGGCCCAAGAACGTACAGCGAGTGTTATTCCGCGGCCAGAGGGGAGAGTTAAAACAACTGGGAGGCAAAGCGATCCATCATCTGCAGTCACCATGACGATACCCGCAGGTGCCTGAACGCAGATCAAATTCCCCCAAGACCCCAAGGTTTATTGATTTAACCTGTGAACAATAAAGGCATTGTGCCCTCTTTTGAATGTTTTTTGGAGGGACGCAGGTTTTGATTGAAGTTAAATAATGTGTTAAATAACACCAGCGTTTGGCTTCGGGAACCTGTTTTATGACCAATGTGCTGTTATATTGCTTTGTATGCATTGATTACAAGCATTTAAGTGTAAATTGTAATCGCTTGTATGGCGGTCTCAACACTCTCTCATGACCTTCACTGTGTGATACTCAAACGTGTCTATTCTCTTCAACTCCAGCCACGGCTTCCACCAATCCTCAAGGTTTTTCACTTTTCAAATCGTCATTTGATCATATTTGCTAATCTCCCTTCCTTCATTCCCCTTTTTTTAACCTCCTCCTCTCTAATATCTGCTGGTCCTACATTTATATCTGAACGTCAGCACAACCCCTGCTATGACTGAGTTTAACTGATTTTGGCGGGATTTCTGTTGGCACTAACGATGTCTCATGCAGCTTACAAAAAGGGGAAAACTGCATCCACCCAGTCATGATGCTTCACACAAAAAAGGAAAGATTGACACTTGAATTTCCTCAAGATGTCCCGTCTTGACTCAATTGAGCTGCAGTCGACCCCTACATGCAACAGTCTGCTCAGTCTGTTTCTTGTCACCTGAGCTCACTTTTGTCCGCCTGCTTCACAGGCTGGTCAACGAGAACGAGGTGAAGCAATGGCGAGACCAGGCAGAGAAGTTCAGGAAAGGTAAGACGCGCTACACGCACTGCCCTCTGCAGGTCGAAAGAGAATATGCATCATCAAAAGTTATTGTGCGTTTTTTATTCCTATTCTCTTCCGATATACAATGTATAGATAGTTTTTGAATTTCATTATCAGAATCAACGTTGTGTGAATACACTACATTGTGTTTCCTGCAGATCACCTGGAGCTGCTGGGTAAACTGGAGCGGAAGGAGCGCGAGTGTGACACAAAGACCCAGGAGAAGGAGGATATGATGAAGACTTTGAACAAGATGAAGGACAAACTCCAGCGTGAGGGCGTGGAGCTGCGCTCAGCCAGGGAGCAAGTGCTCGACCTATCCTCGCGCATCAATGACGTTTCTGTGAGCTGCTATGCTTTTGATACTTTTACATGTACCTTTGCGCCCACTTTGGGCGTATTTGTTTGGCAATGTGCGCGTGAAAGCTTGGTGAGGTATGTACAAACATGCCGCACTGAGGTGAAAGCGCAGACTGCCTGTCGCGGGAACGGAAAAGGAAATGTCATGCATTCACGGGAGGGTCAAGGGGAAAGTCTGAGTTTCCCATAAAGAGATGGGAGGGGGATGCTTAAAGTGCGCCTAATTACGTATTCCGCGGTATGCACAGAAACCGCCTCCATTTTGAAAAGCACGTGTTAACAAGAATGTGGGTTTTGCTCACAAACGCCTCCTGGTGGATTGGCAGCGATAATCCGAGCCAGACGACACAGAATCATCACGTGTTACCGATGAAGCAGCCGTGCAATATTACAGTTACCTGAAGAAATCAAAGATGACATTGCATCTCCCGCTCAGCGTTCACATTCCACTCCAGCAGTTGTTAAAGTCCTCGCTGCATTACAATTATTGGCATCAGGTTCTTGCCATGTTGACATTGGCTGATCCATGATAGAAAGAGAGGAGGAGGTCCATTCACTTGCGTGTTTAAATGCTCGCAATGTGCGGTATTGTGGGCGCTGAAAGGCGCCAATTCCCCGATAAGCTGCAGGTTTCGTAAATACGACGTAAACTGTAGAATCACAGCGAGCGCTAGCTGCGCATTTGCCGTGGCGCTGATAACGCTACGTTTGCAGATGTACGTACACGACGGCCTGATTCCCGATATTAAATAAAGTGCAACACCCAGCATGAGTCGCTGATATGCTGCTGTTAGCGTGTAGCTTTTTGCTAAGTTATTTTTAAAATTGTTTTTACAGACAATTATCCTTCACAAAGAACACGTTTCTAATCCCGGTAAAGAATAATCAATCCAACAAACAATGTTGAAAAAAGCTCTCTCGTAACATATTTGACAAGCTCTATATTAATGTTGTCAGACTGGAGTCGCACAGCGATTGGCTTCATTGTGTTACCAGCCAAGCTCGACACAAACAACCATGCAGAGAGGAAATAGTCTGTCGCCTCCCAACAGCTCCAGACATTTAACCTCGTTCGGAGAAAAACAGACTCCGTAGCTCAATGACGTTAGCTTATGTTAGCTAGCTTAGCCATTGGAGCGGATTACCAATCAACACCATTTGCTAACTCCCCGTTAGGCAACAAACAAGCACTTTGTCAAAAATGTTTGACTTTTCTGGTATTTGCTTCTTTTGTTGTTACATCATGTTGGACAAATGTTTTTCACGATAACTTCATCTTTTATTTCCTCTCTCCACCAAAAGGGCGTCGGTGTGTCTTTCCCGCCTCCTCCTCCTCCTCCTCCTGGCGGCCCGGCGGCTCCGCCTCCATCAGCAATGACAGGCGGCTTTCCTCCGCCTCCTCCTCCGCTACCGTTCAGTTGCCCGCCGCCTCCGCCACCTCCTCCTCCACCGGGCGCTCCGCCCCCTCCGCCGGGAGCCCCTCCGATTTTCGGAGCCCCGCCTCCTCCCATTTCCTCTTTATTCAACTCTGCGACCAGCATGCGCTCCAAGTCCATCCCCCAGCCTTCTCATCCCCTCAAGTCGTTCAACTGGGCCAAACTAGGAGAGGTGAGCGGACGAGGAGAACATCTGCTTGGCCGACCAGCCGTCGGGTGGAATATTGAAAATTCAATTTTAAGATATAGCTGATGCATTCACATAACTAATCAAGTATTTATTGACACAGAAGAAGTAGTAGCTGTTCCATCAGTTTTTTTAATGTGCCGCTTTACTCCTTTTTTTAGAACGTGATCAACGGCACCATCTGGAATGACATCGACGACCTGAGGGCCTTCAAGATACTTGACCTCAAGGACATCGAGAAGATGTTTTCGGCGTATCAGAGACAGCAGGTTTGCCGTGTTTTACACTTCACGACTCGCAGTTCAGTGCGTGTGTTTGTTTTGGGGATAAAAAGGGTTGCAGCGTGGCGCATTTCAGGGCTCCATGAGCAAAATATGCTGATCACCAAAATGTTTTGAAATAAATAATGGCTTTTTGAAATGAATTAGAATGAGCCCTTCATATCTCGACTGGGCTGCTGCAGTTACTCTGCCATGTTTCTGGACAAACCAACCAGTACACACCAAATACTGTTTTATGTCACTGCGTGAAATGGTTTGAGTGGAATGTCAATACGCCAATGAGGTTCTCGTGATCCCAGTTTAAATCAAAGGCCCAATGGGGGAGCTCACCAGTGTTTAATAAGCTTCTTACAGCTACAATTTCTCTTTTCAGGCTTTTATTAAAGAGCCAAAGGTAATTTAAGGCTTTTGCCGAGTGTGGTTTACTGTGTGTATTTATTTATTTATCCACTGTAGGTTTTTATTGGCACCGGCGGACGGTTAAACAGCGAAACCTGGGGCCTTACTGGCTTTGACAACAAGGTTCCATTAAATTCAACATTGCAATGTTTATACATGGCATAATTGCTTTTTTTTAACTTGTCATTGGCCTTTCTTTCAAAACGGACTTGTGTTTTCGTTCGCCCTCTGCAGGATTCCTTACCACACTTCATTTTTCATTTTCTTGTTTTTCCACGTCAAAGCAAATGTAGATGTAATCAAAAGAACACATTTTAGCAACCATGACCTCCTTAAGAACACAGAAACCACAATGGAGCACAGTTTAAACTCGCACCAATGTAGATGTACTTCAGACTTCCAGCATGGACTTCATGAGCCGCCGATGACTCGGCCAGTCAATTATTACCGCTCGGTTCTCACAGAGGGCTTCCCAGCCTCGGCGTGTAGCGTGCACAGTGGTTCTTCCTCGCTCTAGTCACCACATTTATATTTTCCTCTGCTTGAACTGCATATCTTTGCATGTGTTTTCAATTTTTCTTTTTTGTGTCTGTGTGTGTGTGTGTGTGTGTGTGTGTGTGTGCGCGCGTCTCTCTGCACTCTCTCGACTGCCTGGGCAGGACCTGCTCACTAACCAATCCTTCAAGCAGGTGAGTCAAGAGGTCCTCGGCATCTTTATCTCCTGCTCGCCTACTGCTCTATCAGCTTCTCTGAGTGATGGACGTGTTCATGTGCGACTTATTTACAAACAAAATACAGTGACTGTCAATGCTGGTGTTGATGCTTAGCAAACTGATAGATGATGGCTAGCTAGTCATAAAGCACGAAGGAGCTGATCTGCAGTCACGCTGTTTAGTCTGCATGCTCTGCTCAAGTTGGCGAAGCTGCATTTACAAGAAGAAACCTGCCCAAAGGGCTTTTTGTGTGTGTGTGTGTGTGTGTGTGTGTGTGTGTGTGTGTGTGTGTGTGTGTGTGTGTGTGTGTGTGTGTGTGTGTGTGTGTGTGTGTGTGGCCAGTCATCGTGGGTCAGCACGCGGATGGAAAAACGACTTTCTTTACGAGGCACATCTGTTTCACACACATCAACCTCAAAATTGACTTCTTTTTTTCTCACTATAAATAGAACTTGTGTAACACGAGGCACCGGCCGGGTTTCTCAGACATCGGTTCTTTGTAATGTCACATTGACGTTATTTATTTAGTTTAACGCAGCGCTTCCTGTTCTTCTGAGAGGTTTACAGGCCTGCGTTGTGTTTCCAATGGTTACTCATCGAATAAAAAGGTCTTCTCTCAGGGCCTAGTTATTTATCTCCATGTTGTGTCTGCCCAGCCATGGATTTGTGACTGTGTCTTTAATGAGATACACATCATGGCCAATGGGAACGGATGTTCTGCAAAAGCAGCTCAGGCCAACTACTGAATCTGGCTGCAGTGCAACTTTTTAGTCCGTGTACGATGGCGTCTACCGTCGACAAATAAATACATTTATTAGATGTCATCACTCAACTCCTTTGTCTGTAGACAAGCTAACAGATGTGAGGAGGAGACATTGCATTGCATGTGTCTTCTAGATGGAACTATGTTGCAAAGTGGATCTGGATGTCTGTCTTTGTCTTTTAGCAGAAGGAGACGGGCTCCATGGACGACCTATACGTCAGCACGCGGAAGGTCAAAGAGCTGTCGGTCATCGACGGTAGACGCGCGCAGAACTGCATCATTCTTCTGTCAAAGTACGTGTCCCGTCCGTACATCGTGCCTTTTGACCGCCCGTTGTGAGAAGATGCAGCGAGCACAGTCTCTGGTGACCTTTGAGTCTGAGAGTGGAGCTGCTTGAAGTCTGGTACTGGAGACATCTGGCGGTGTAACTTGACTACCCTCCACAGTGAGAGCCAACTGAGTCATATTACAGACAAACAATCAAGTACTATCATTCTCCATTCATAAACCCAGAGGGGCTTCCAGTCTTTCTAAATCTGACCGGCAATGAATTCAAATCCTAACGAGACCGTTTGTGTGTCTTCTGACAGCGTTGATCCCAAAGCTCTGCAGAGAATTTGGATCAATAAATAGACTCCCTGTCAGCGTGGTCCCTGGACTGCTCTCATTTCAATAGCAAATGCCCCGAGGGTACAAACTACACCCAAATGGGGTCAGCACTTGGTCAAAGGGATTTAGTGCAAGTAGTAACACGGCTGTTATAAATCACAACCCGGGCACACTTAACGCGAATCAGATGCACTGAGAGCAGCTGGCTGTGCTCCCAGAGTATTAGTATCACTTCTGGGTCGTCGGTTTGTAATGTGGAAAAGGGTTGCATTCGATGAATGGAATTAAATGAAAATGTGGTTCCTCTGCAGGTTAAAAATGAGCAATGAGGAGATCAAAAGGGCCATCCTGGAGATGGACGAGAGGGAGGAGCTGGCTAAAGATATGCTCGAGCAGGTGAGGTTGATGGATGATCAAGTTAACTACTGCTGGTAGGATCCGTAACAACAATGTGCATGGATCTGAATAATTGGCAAGGAGACGTTGACGTTCTGTTGTTTCTTCAAAAAGGTTTGATGTAATTTGCCTTGTAAGGCTTGATATAATATAGAGTTCAATAATTCATAATAAAAAAAGCAGAAAGGACCACCTCGAGATGTTCCAGGGCCCTGGATCATTCTCTTGGTAGAGAGAATGCAGCCTTAATGCACTGCCCCCATTGAACGGGTGACAGATGCACCACAGACGCCGACATTAACATCTGCATTCACATTTCTGTCCGTGCATTTTGCAGCTGCTGAAGTTTGTCCCAGAGAAAAGTGACATTGATCTGTTGGAGGAGCACAAACACGAGCTGGAAAGGATGGCGCGGGCCGATCGCTTCCTCTTTGAAATGAGCAGGTACGCCGCACTTATCGCGCTGCGCTAACGCAGTGGGTCTGTTAGCTGTCTGCTTCCTTTCGTCTGCAGCCAAGCACAGATTTGCACGACCGGGGAACTTTTATTTAGATAACAGATACCGTGATGAAGATCTGTTTCGCACATGTTTGCGGTGCGTGGTATGAACAACGTGCAGGTGCAGCCACTGCAGACCACAAAACGATCTTAAAATATCAGCACGACGTCGGGTTCTTGAAGAATGAACTTTTCAAGCAGCACGGTGAGGCTGAGACTGAGAACAAGCCTCACAAACCGTGTGATGGATTCATTATTTAGCTGTGGAAAGAACTCTCGCCACATCAGAAAGTTTGAAACCTCCTTCCTTTCTCAGAATCTCAGCTATTCAAGATGATTAAACCATTTCTCTCTGTGAAATATCACCTCGTCCAGGTTAGTGTACTTGTGACCTTCCCTCCCTGGTCACAGGAATCCATCTAGGAATTAGTTCTTTCCTTTCTTTGTCCCCCGTTTAATATCCTTTGTCAGTCTTTGACAGTCTAGTTTAACAGCTCGATGGGAGCCTATTAGATGCTCAAAGGCCAGTGAAAACCGAGAGGGGGAATTGTGTACGATTGGGTGCCTTCTAGCTTTTGAACTTTACAACTTTACATTCCCCTGGATACAAATGTGACTCGTTTCCTTTTCATGGCTTTCCTCCCTTGATCAGAATTGACCACTACCAGCAGAGACTGCAGGCTCTGTTCTTCAAGAAGAAGTTTGCAGAGCGTCTGGCAGAAACCAAGCCGAAGGTTGAAGGTAAGGACAAGCCCATGGGAGAGGCGGACAGTGTTGTTTTCCTTTTTGTCAACAAAGAAATGGATGATAATGGCGAGTAGTGTCTGCTGAGGCCCGATGCGGCCTCTCGCTCTGGGCCATAGAGCTCCATTGTTGTCGGACGACTATTGTGCATGCTGAGCGCCTTGGCTCCGCTCTATTTGCTTTCCTTGGGAGCTCGATCCAGGTTACCACGCAGGCCGTTTTGGAAAGCTGGCCGTGGTTGAGAGGAGAGCGCCTCTCTCTCTCTCTCTCTCTCTCTCTCTCTCTCTCTCTCTCTCTCTCTCTCGAACACTGCAGACGTGGGTCTGAGGTGTCACGGTGTCCGTTTCAGTCAGAGCTTCTCCAAAGACTGTCCTCCGCTGCCCGAAAGGTCTTTTTTTTTAGGAGGGGACGGGGGCTCTTACGAGCGCGTTGCATAATCTGCGCCAGTCGTCTTTTATCTGCAGACTCTCGACGGTTCAGCTCTTCGTGTGCTGAACCTGGTTTTGATCCTCTGACAGACATCACTGGAAAGAAAGAGCGTCCAGAGTCTGTTCTTGGATTCAATGCCAAATCCGTGTAATTCATCTTACTTACTCATGTACTCTAGATGGGACTGCATGTTCCCCGGACCACCCACCATGTTCACTCGACGCTTTTTAGTGCACGGAGCTCGGCAGACCCGCGGTCAGCAGAGCCAGAGAGAGCTGCAGCTATAGCAACCGGCTGTGTTGATGCCTCTCACGTTCACACCGGGGGTCTCCTCCGCCCCCCTCCACTCTTTGTGGCTGGATGGAGGGATGTAATGGGTTTCCCCACCGAGCTGCCCAGTTGCCGTGGGGAGTATTGATTAAGAAACGAAGAAAATGATGAAGAACCCTTGGGCCATGTACAGTGGAGACCTTTCCATGTGTTTGCATGGATGAGAGAGAGGGGGGAAATATAATGGAAGGGGCGAGGGGGCGGAAAAAGAGCAGGTCATTATATAATACAAAAGGTTAAGGGAACTAGCAAAATGCACACACATCATTCATCTCTGCAGCTGCTTCTCTCTCCGCTTCCCACCAGCCATCCTGAACGCATCCAAGGAGGTGGTCCGGAGCAAGAGGCTGACTCAGATCCTGGAGGTGGTGCTGGCCTTCGGCAACTTCATGAACAAGGGCCAGAGAGGCAACGCCTACGGCTTTAAGATCTCGAGCCTCAACAAAATCGCTGACACCAAGTCCAGCATAGACAGGTGGGCCGGGGGGGACTGTGGTTACTCGCCTTTTCTGATGCTTGATATCACATACGTGCTCTTTGGGGTCTGTTTGTTTTTGTTTTTTTAGGACTGCTAGCGATTAACACAGCACGATATTCCGTGACTTTGAATCTTCAAAATGCACCAGCCATCTGCTCTGCAGTCACCATCTTGAATCCCTCCATCATAGACAGATCTAAACTAAACATCCCATCCCACGCCCTTATGTCCATTGAACTCTTCTCAATCGATTCATGTTGAGATGTGGATGCACACAGATCCTGCACCTCCACCCGGCCACGTAGACAAACCTGCAGACAAAGTACAGCTTAATAGAAATGTATTTTTCAGTGAAGATGATCCTCCAATAAGCGGTGGTACGATAGGAGTTGTTGTTGAAATGCTTTTCTTGATTCGACAGGAACATCACCATGTTGCACTACTTGATCATGATCGTTGAGAAGAACTACAATGACACGCTGCACATCCAGGACGACCTCGGCAGTGTGCCGGAGGCTGCCAAAGTCAAGTGAGTGCACCAGGGTTTGTGTTATGAAGGCCTGAGTGCATGAGGCTTAAAGCACTCAAACAAAATGCTGCACAATGCACACGGTCTGCTGCAGGACATGTAGTCAGGAGGTGACGTCTAGAATGATCTTTCCCAATTTCTATTTTTTCACATTTGTAAAAATCAAAAAAAAAAAAGTTGTAGGGAAGTGACTTTCAAGGTCATATCAGTTTGTTTTTCTGCCTTTCACCAGTTTGTCGGAGTTGGAAAAAGAGGTGCACAATATCAAAAGTGGACTGAAGGCTCTAGAAGCGGTGAGTTGTTGCCTCCCATTGACTCTTCTCTCGTCTGTAATCGTGTCTTTGGATGTTTAAATGTCCCTGACTCACACAAACCAGGGCATGTGCATGAACACACTGTGGTCCTTCTTCTTTAAGTATGTGAAGCACACAAAAAAAGCTCATAATGACACCGCCTTTAATCCTTTGCCCTCGCCCTCCAGGAACTGCACTACCAGCAGAGCCGGACACGGGAACGTGGGGACAAGTTTGTGGCGGTGATCGGCGACTTCATCACCGTGGCCGGCTTCAGCTTCTCTGAGCTGGAGGACCAGCTGAGTGAGGCCAGGGACAAGGTAGCACCACCGAGTTTAGATGTCCACGTGCAGTGCTGATTCTGACGCAGTCCTCAATGGTAGACATTCGTGTTGGACAGACGGAGGGGAAAGGGAGGAAGACAGAATGCTGAAGGGAGAAAGCTTGAAGCCTCTCAGTCCCCAGTGATGAGTTGAGCTGGGAAACCGGGCCTTGACAGATCCCTGACTGGTCTTTCTCTGTGTTTGTCTCTCTGACTGAATTCACACTCTGCTTCCTACTACTGGGACAAACGGTCTTTTGAACTTGTGCATCGACGAATGGTAGGAAGTATGCAAGCTGAAGACATCAGCGGGACCTTGGAAGTTACACGAAAGGATTTATGTGACCGGGTTACTCAACGCACAGACCCGTTGGTGCTCTGATGCACATTTAGCATCCAGATGCTGACACATTAGAAGCTTTTTCACAATATACTTTAAGATGACACATGTCCTTTTCACTAAAAATGACTCTAAATCGCCCAAATTGCTTAAATTCCCCGAAAGGGCCATCAGATGTTGTGCTCTTGGGTTCCATGTGGAGCCGCCCCTCGGCCTAGTTATTTAAGTAGGAGGTCGGTAAATAAAATCACAGGGAAAACGGGCCGGTTGGGACGTCATGGCAACAGAACAGGAGGAGCAAGGCACCGGTTACTGCTGTGAAACAAAAGAACCTGTGTTTGTGTGTGTGTGTGTGTGTGTGTGTGTGTGTGTGTGTGTGTGTGTGTGTGTGTGTGTGTGTGTGTGTGTGTGTGTGTGTGTGTGCGCGCTCTAAGTGGGGAGTATGACGCATCAACTTGGTGTTCACGGTTCTCTGCCGCTCCGTTGCGGTTTCCACTGGGATACAAATATGAAGGTGTGCGTCTGCGCACAGCGCGTCCGTCTCAAGAGGTGGAGGACGTTGAGGACATGACAACGAGAGAACACTCAAATAGTGTTTGTGTGTTTCTCCTCTCTAATGGAATCCTAAAACCTGATCACAAAACAGTTTTTCTCTGTATCGTAGCCTGTTGGTGCCGGTTAATGGACTAAAACAGGCAAACGGGCCACTGGGGCATTTTGAAAGTCAGTTGTTCGTTTTTTTTTTTCAGCCCCCCGTCATCTGGTTTTTAACCATGTGACCATTGATTCCATGCTGGAGGGCAATGAATGGAGCAAAGCTATACAACACAGCTGATCCTTTTCTACATATCATGAACCATTTACTTATTTCCCACTCGCCCTCTTTCATTGAACCCACCAACGCACTTTAACTACGACACCATCACACCCCTCTTTTTCCTCCATTTTGTGTTGTTGGTAAATAATTGCAGTTTAGTTCATTGGGTTTCCCTTGAGTGCATTTTGATAGCGAGTTCCCACGCAGAGGAGTCCCAGTACCTCCTGTATTATTAACAGGAGATGAGCTGGAGGTGCCAGGCCACGCCGGATCCACCATGTGTTAGCCAGAGCCCGTCGGAAACAGCCTGTAAAAATCATGATTTATAACAATTTCTTCAATAAAGCTTCATGAAGAAATGTTGAAATACTCTAACGGCCATGTAAATAGATATTTAACCGCTCACAGAGTAAGTGTGTGTGTGTGTGTGTGTGGGTGTGTGGGTGTGTGGGTGTGTTGGGTGGTTGCCTTTCATTACTAGATAAGAGATATCTGACAGCAGACATCAGATTTGTATACGTGTATATATGTATCCGTATACATGAATGACTTAATAATCTCTGTGCAGTTCACCAAATCTCTGAAGCACTTTGGAGAGGAAGAAGGGAGGATGCAGCCCGATGAGTTCTTCGGGATCTTCGACACGTTTTTGCAGTCGTTCAACGAAGCGCGGCAGGACCTGGAGAACATGCAGCGGCGCAAAGACGAGGAGGAGAGGAGGGCCCGCATGGAGGCCATGGTGAGACGTTTTACACAACAAAACCTTTAACGTCAATCTATTCTTTCTCCTTTTTTTTTTTTCAATATAAACAACTGAAACAAGAATTTAAAAAGGGTTTCTGTGTTGCAGCTCAAGGAGCAGAGGGAGCGGGAGCGGCGGGCCAAGAAGGGCGGGGCCTCAGACGAGGTCGGCGGGGAGTTCGACGACCTGGTGTCGGCGCTGCGTTCCGGCGAGGTCTTCGACAAGGACCTGAATAAGTTCAAGCGGAACCGCAAGCGCTCCGTCAACCAGCTGGTGGAGGGTGGGGGCCGCGAGCGGGCCGTCACCAAGGTCAACTACTAGGTTGAGAAAAGGAAAGAAAAGAAAGAAAGAAAACACCAGACTGTTAAATGGTGCCGTGGTGTCGCTCCCCTCACACCTTTAGGTCCACGTCCACCGATGTTGGACAGGATGTAAATAGCGGCCGGATGGACATGTACAGGCGTTTGATCTCGCCAAGCGGCCCCCAACCCGTTTTGTGATCCCCTGAGGACAGTTGTGATCTACGGATGGACGGACCCCCCCGTGAGACGTCACCCCGTATCGCTTCACCTCCGAACACTGTGCTCCAGCGTCCCCCTCACAGCCTCACACAGGACTCTGGACCAGCACTGTCTCAGACGCTTGGCCGGCAGAATGTGTGGAAGTGTGGAAGACAGCTGTTCCATCCGCAGTGTCTCCACAGGAAAATTCATGTCCTTTACTGGGGGGGGGAGAAAGGGACAAGAGGGTTGGCAAATCTCAGGATGCTCTGTGGGCTTCTGAAAGCGAGAGGAAGGGAAGGGGAAGCGTCCCGGGGAGCACGCGGTGTGTCAGGATACCACTCGTCTCCTCAGCTGGACACGCTGGGTCCATCCTCGCCTCCACCCGCCTCCACCCGTCAATGGTTTCCACACCGGCATCAAACCAGTGCCAAAGCAGAGAGAGAACCAATGTACTCATTTGAAAAGCACACTGCGGTTATATATTTAGATGAAGACAAGCTGATTGCGAAGCTGTAGGGTTTGTTTAAAAAGATAAATGTTTTCATGGCATTTTGTGGGGTTTGTACACGAAAAGCGTTATTTGTTGGTGTTGCAAGTTCACATCGGTGTTGAAGTGGATTTCTAGATATTTTGCGCTTAATGTAAAAAAACAAACACTTAATTGCTCGTCATTTTCATACCTGTGCGTCTCGTTTGCACTGTAGCGTCTCCGGCGGACCGGCCTCTGCCCGGCCCGCGCCGGCCTCTCTGCAGCTGTGCAGCAGCTCTGGTTGGGCCTCCACTGAGCGTGGGGTCCAAACACGCCGGCTCAGCACAGAGTGAGTGGACCAGTTGGGTTGAGGGTTTCTCAAGGTAAACCGAAGGCTGGATCCGCTGTGTGGCAACACGTCGCACTGCGCCGCTCGGTGAGACTATTACTGCAGAGTGAGGCCACAACAAGGCCCTTGGAGGTTGAAGTTCAGTGGCAGCCTTTGAGAGGCTTTCCTCCACCTTTCCTCCCAGCTTGCGAGTAGACCCCGTTACTATGAGCAACCTAGGCCACCTTTCCTTCTCAAATATTCAATGTAGTATGATTTTTTTATTTTTATTTATATATGCATGTCTGGAGCCTAAGCAGAAGGTGTGACAGGAGGACAGACATGCAGCACAGGGTAGCTTGAATCCTGGGGGCTGCTGTGGTGGGAGCCAGGGAGCATCATGGGTCATCTAAGCACAGTGGGGATGTGTTAAAAAAACAGATCCATATGAATGCAGGTAGAGGTCAACCACGCGCAAAGTTTCTATGGGATATCCTGGGATCATCCATTTATGCGTTGCTGGTTACTCTAGGACAGTATAGAGCCAGCAGCACAGGGGAAAGATTGAGAAACGAACACAACTGATCTTTTGTGTATGTGTCAGCTGAGGCGTTCGCCCGCATCAACATGGGTTTGAGTTTCACAGGACAAAGTATTCTCATGCCTCAGTTTGTGAGGGCGGAGGGGGAAGCGGTTGTTCTCACGGTGACTGTGGCAGCTCCCTCGCCACTTGGCTCGATGAGTTTACGGGATTGTTGTTAAACTAAAGAAAGATTACTGCAGTGGTGGCGGCAGACCCACTTTGTCTTTGTTATCTCCAGCTTTTCTGTTCTGTTTTCACACATGTACCATTCCTTTCTGTCATGTTTTTAGTTTGGCTTTCCCAATAGAACATGCAGTGACCGGCGGTTGGAATCTGGCGCCATCTTGTGGCTTTCGATGGTTCACTCCGGTTCTTGAGCCCCTGACAGCCTCACTGTGTTGTGGCTGTGTGATCGGAGATGTTTGACCTTCTACCTGGATGGAGAAAATTCCAATTTAACTTAACGGTTAATTAATGTGGAACTTGGCAGAGGAACCTCGTCCTTCCTGGGGTGTTTTCCATTCATTTGGACTCAAATGGAAGCAGAGCAGGTGAAGTGTTGTTGAAAAGACAAAGGGACACTCCAAAGATGAAACCAAATTCATTGGAACGTCCACAGCCCTGAGGGGAGAATGCCGTATGATTGCCTATTTTTTAACCAGCATCTCATTTATATTTGAGCTATTGGATTTCCTAACCTCCTTTTGTCTTTCCAATTAATCTGAGTTAGCGTACTTGGCAGAAAATGTAAAACTCAATCCAGAGCTTTGACCCCGTATTGTAGTGCAGACTATTTACTGGGGTGCATGGACAGTATTATCACACATTTATGTTTCATGTTTGGATGTTTATTTCGGCCATTGACTGGCTGATAGCTGAGTGTACAGGTGGAAATCAGAGGAATGACATTTGTTCAATGCACTTTTATTATGGGACGTTTCCATTAGCGGCGCCATTGCGAGGGTTTCAAACCCCTCTAGAAATGAGATGTGTGCACGAAAAGAAGAAGAAGCAGAAGAAAAGCAATGTAAGTGGTGTCGCATCACGCACTTGGCATGGACCTGCACGCCGGAGGAAGTGTGCAGCGCGTGTGGCGTGTCCACTTGCAGCACGGAACACACCTGTTGCACCACAATTTGTACTGCCTGAGAGAAATTGCACCCAGTTTGAGAGACTGCGTAAGTGCGACGAGTCGGTATTTTTATGGTTGGAAAAAAAAAGTATACTCCACCGAAAAGATGTACAGTTGGATAGAAAATTTAAAAAAGCATTTTGTACACAATTCTTGATGTTTGAAATAGAATTAAAAAAAAAAAAAAGATTCAAACGTTGAGGAATGTTCCATTTTCCTGTAAATTGTACCTACTATTTATTTGCCTTATTTAGTTTGCTATATTTTGTATGTACACAACGCATTACAACAAGATGTTATATTAAAATCTGAATAATTAAACTGTGGTCTGTGTGTGATGGATAGTTTTCAGACGTTTTTTAAATTTTTATTACTTAATTTTAGTTTTGTATTTCACCCTGTCTTTTGTAGGGTTACAATAAACGTTTGTCCCTTTATAACAGCTTGTGTTCTTTTCTTCTGAATCATTTGATATGGACGTAATTATAGCTCATAGTTACAGCACATAAATGATTAGCCCATCAACAAAAAGTCAAGTGTGTGTGTGTGTTTGTTTAGATTGGCAAATGTTTTTCAAAGCCAGAACTGAGGACTGAGGTAGTACAACTTCCTTTAGGCCACTATGCCGTCACTGTCCCTCACACCGGACTATGGACTATATCTGATATTTGCGGTAGCGTGACGAGATGTGATGACGACTTTGACAAAAGCGTCTCTCAGAGATCTGTGCTAAAGAGGCATTTCACCTAAATCCATCTCCGTTCTATTGTTCTGCTACGGGCGCAAAGTGTACCAAGCAAATATCCCCCACGCCTTCACACCAGCAGCCTGAACCGATGACACAAGGCAGGATGGATCCATGCTGTCATGTTGTTTAAGTTCTGACTCGACCATCTGAATACAGCTGAACGAGTGCTTATTTGGGTTCCTGCTTCCGTCATCGTGAACCAGTCTGTCCATTCTCCTCTGACTCAACAAGGCACTTTCGTCCACATAACTCCCAATCGCTGGGTGTTTTCTCTTGTTGGGATTCTCTGTAAACCTGTCGTCATGCTGTTATCATTTCATTCACGATGACACACACGATGAGAAAACCGCTCCCAAATCCCAGGTGGGCCACATAAACAGGATTAGTACGACCTTATCGTTGCAACTAGTTTACACCATGAGACTACAGTGTGCTAATTGAAACACCTCAATTAATGTATTAGCATTTTTACTATTGTCGAGTCCGATCAGTCTCAATAATTCACATATATATCTAATTTACAAATAAATGTGACTCCCACAATTTTGGTTAAAAGGTTGCCAAAATGACCAACAATGCTATCAACATATCCAGGAACCCAATTTCGTCCTTTCACAATAAGACTTCCTGCATACACCTCCAAATAGTACAATAAAAGCACTTTCTTCGTCGCCCCCAGTATCACACGACCGAGTCTACTTTCTAGTTTATCACTATATAATCATTTTAACATTTATGGTAGCTAACCATTTAACTTCATGCCGCCTCAACGGTAAAACGTATTATTTAATACACAAATTTAGTATTTAGTATTATATCATAATAAATAAGGAGACAACTAGATATGTTACAGGGTTCAATGATTGTGAACATCGAGAACAAACCCTCTGATTCGTTGGCTGATTTTAGTCACTAGAGATGGTTGAGATCAAGTTACATTAACATTGGAGCGAGTAAATTAGTTGAACTCTGGGTTTGAATTAGTTTTATTTGTAGAGAATTTAATTTGTTTGTGCTTTGAGTTGCCTGACTTCATTTTTTAGCAACATTCATGTTTTAATCAAAATGTTCCATATAGGAAACCTCTGCATCTACTTTAAATATTCTCTTCTTCCGCCGTTATTCTGAGACGAGATGTCTGATTACAGGAGGAAGTGAGTTAACGATTGAAATCGACTCAAACCTTTGTGTGTCATTAAATACACAAACGCTCATTAACTCAACATCATTGTTGTTTCACTTCATTCACGTCAACAACTAATAAAGAATATGTGATTCTCTTTGGTCTGAAGAAAAGAAGACGGATTCATTTGGTTTCACTTATCAACTCATCAAAATTTATTTTCATTGTTCATTGATAATAAACAGATGAAACATTAAATACTAATAACAATTATAACAATAATATGAATAACAATAACAATAATAATAACACAATAATTGAAAGGAGTTCCTGAGAAGAAAGAAAAGAAGTTAACATGTTAGCGTTGTTAGTGTGGATTTGTGTACATCTACATATTAGTGTGTCTGAACATGGAGATGTACACAAAGACATACAAGCATTTGTTTGTTCACAGACACACTAACATGTAGATATACACAAAGACACACTAAATTCGTATATTACTTTTATTCGTTAGTGTCGCTGTGTAAGTACTTGTATATGTTAGCGTCTCTGTGTAAGTACTTGTATATGTTAGCGTCTCTGTGTAAGTACTTGTATATGTTAGCGT